ATTTTTCACCATAGAAACCATCTTTACACATGCATTGTCCAGAATGTGGATCACACACACCACCTTCCGTTCCGAGCGGGTCGCAGTTGCAGACTGTAAGGCAAATTATTGATTTTTTTGATGCACATGAACTGGGGGACCAGCTCTCGTACATGTGCAATTCGGGAAACCGTAGAAACCAGCTTGGCATTGATCGCACATCTTTCCAGTGAAGGAAGGTTTGCATACGCATTGCCCGGTGGTTGCAGAGCAATTTGAGTGGGCGGAGCCAGTCTCGTCGCAAACGCATTCTAAAATTTATTTTGAGTAAAAATAAATAATGTATCACGCGAAGGCAAAGAAAGGAAGAAGTAAAAAATGAGCAAAGGGAATGAACAAAAAACTGAAATAAACGGAAACGTGGTGACCGCGACGCAACCGCGTGCGCATGAGCTGTTAACAGGACAGATGTGTGGAATGAGAGTATAGACGATTTTTTGGTGAAAAGGTAATTGAAATACTTTTCTTGAATTTTTGCAGTTCTTTTTGTGAGTAAAAGCAGTAAAGTACCCGGGTTCAGTTAGATCGAGTGTTATCGCGCACTCTTCACAAAAAATTAGACGAGAATCAGCAAAATTGCCAATAGCGTAACAAGGGCCACGCCCACACGCAGCGCTAGCTCCGCCTCTGCTATCAAAGCTTCATCTTTACCCTTGCATCCAGCTGTTACATTCGTAAATCCAGGCTCACACGTCTCACAGAATGTTCCTCCAAAACCGGGTTTGCATGGGCATTGGCCATTTTCGGGCTAAAAAAGTTTGGCACTAGAAATATTAATTTTATTGATTGAGAGGTTTGCGTACCAGACACATTTCGCCAACTGTTCCATTCACAGCACATTCGCATTGTTTGCACTCTGGAGGATCATAGTATCCCTTAGCGCATTTGTCACAGTTTTCCCCTTCAAATCTGGGTTGACAATAGCATTTTCCAGTTTCTTCTTCACAATCCGCAGTATGTTTGGAAGGATCGCAGGAACAAGCTGTAAATCTTCTGAATTTTTGTTTGCAAAAAAAACGAAAAAAGGTCCCTACGTTTGCAAGGCATCGTGTCGTTCCAGCTCACTCCAGCCGGACGATAGTATCCGA